TGTTTATCTGTTTGTATACAAAACTTTACGTGTTTGTTGTTTTGTTTATCTGCTTGACTTGTTGTTACACACTTGTGTTTACGTATTCAGTCTAGGAATCTGCAATACAGGGTCAAGGGTGTTTCCCACTTTTTCTCCAAAAAAACTTCCAAATAAAAGGGTTTTTGTTTAATAGTTGGTGTCAGAGTTGGTTTTTTGCCTATACATTCTATTAAACTATAGCTTGTTTTCTCTGTATTTTCTTTTTGCTTAGTATGCATTTGGAGGTTTACTAGTGCAGAAGATGCTCTATATAGTAGTTGCTTCTTCACTAAATTTTGTGCCGGGGGATCAGCGGAAAGAGTTCACTGCTTTGAAATTAGTTTATATTAATTTATATTTTATATTAGTATTAATAATTATTAAAATATTATTTTTAATTTAGACATAGACTCCAATTACAAAGACGTGATATATTATATTTGCCTTGTTTTGCATATCAAGTGAATTTATATGTAGCTGATATTTTTAAAAGTAATCCAGATTATGTAAAAGTAGCAACAAATGCTTGTTCACTTCTTTCTTTTTTTAATGCATCAACTTATTGGCTTGGACAATTTCGATATAAGCAAGTACTTGCTTATAACAAATACCCTGCATTAATTCATCCTGGTGAAGCAAGATAGAACTCATATTATTATTGTTTTGACAGTATTCTTAGATCCAAAATGGCTTTACAAGTAAGCAGTTGCATGTTATTTCAATCATCTGTATATCTTTACTATACAAGCTATATGCAATATATGGAAATACGTATTTTGTATAAATAGTGCACAGACAAAATTAATATTTTGTAAATAATGTATATAGTTCCATACTGCTGCTCATAGCTTTTTTATTTGCCGCACAGAAAATTTTCTAAATTGTATAGCATCTGCATAATAAATTTTAGTTAAAAATTTAATACTTTATATTTATATTTTATTAATATAACTATATTATAGACTTTTACAGAAAAATACAATATAAATAATACTCCAGTAGAGCTTAGAACCGATCAAAAGTATCTTCCAGAAAATATTATTAATATTATAAAAAATGAAAATTTTTGGATCAATATATTAAATTTAAAAGAAATTCTTTTACTATTTTATCTTTGCCTTGATAAGTTACAAAAAAATAATGCAAGACTTTTTGAAGTATTGCATAGTTTTGGTTAATTTATAAAAGTTGTTAAAAATTGTTCTAATATAGAATTCTGTAATACTATGGTTGCCTGTCTTAAGCATCATTAGAAAACATAAGAGCAATCTTTATTAATTCTTTTATTTTTGCTCCATCCTAATTATCGTCATGAAAAATTTACACTTGAAGCAAATCTTAACTACGTTAAGTTAGAACAATGGATAATTTATTATTATTCTGTTTGGTTTGGTCAAACACCTACTTCAATTTTACGTGAGCTTGATACATACCGTAGAAAAAAATATCCTTTTAATACTATTATATTTAATAATTTTAACAATGATCTACTTGGGTACTGGGAATTTGTAGCTTCAAATTCCCAGTTTGAGTTAGCAAAACTTGCCTGCCGTATATTTGCTATTGCAGTTAATACTGCCTCTGTTGAATGATTATTTAGTTTAATGGGTTTTCTTCACTTATCAAGAAGAAACTGATTAAACAATGATAAAATTCTTTCTATGTGTTAGTTATGAGAAGAAATGCACTGTGCTTATCAATTAGCTAAACTTAATAAAATTAAAAATGAATATAATAATTTTACAACTAGGTTTGATGAAATAACGGTTCAAGAAACAGTAGATGATTCAGATTGTGGAAGTGAAAATGAGAAGTGTGATGATGATAATATAGAAAATGAAGATAATATGTGTAAGGTTATTAATGAATAGATAGAAATGCTAGATAATAAGGAGACAGAAGACAAAAAACAAGATAATATTGAAACAATGAAAATGAACAACCAGTCACTTGATAGCTTACTTACTCGGAATCATCCATGTCAAGATCAAACTGCAAAATGGTTATTAGAAGATTTGTTCGATTCTGGATTAGCATCACCATTTGGTATTATATTATAGAAGTTATTATTATTATTATTATTTTTATTTATTAATTTTTTTTTATTTCACTGATACAGAACTACCATAACACAGTTAACTTTGAGTACAATGAACCTCTCAATAATTAATTCCAGATATAATGAACTTAAGTTTTATAATAGTTTGGTATTATAGGCTCTTAAAAACATAATAGCTTTCTATATGATCTTTTTTTTCTTAAAGTTATCAATTCATTATAGGAAGGGTTATATAGTTATCAAGATATATATGTTGTGTTTTTATTATATAGTAACAACTTTAATAGTATAGATTTAAATTTATTTTTAATATAGTAAATTTTTAAATAGTTTGACAAGAACTTTAAATAAACGATTCAAACAATTAATTGCATACAGGAATTTAAATTTATACTATCAGCTATAGTATATAAAGATAACATAATGAAAAAGTTATCATTATATTTGTCTTTATATTTATTAGTATTAAGTTTTATTTCTTTTTTTCATATAATTGTAAATTGCAACCAGTACAAAGTTATTACAAAATTACCATGCACGTTATACCCACACTACCAAAGTATTTTGGATCTTATTTATTGCACTAATAAAAGAAAATTGAATTGAAACATAATATGTGAAATAAAACTTTAAATATATACATACTCTTCATACTTATGATAACAAATTATGAATAAAATTTTTTAGTAATACATGTAACTTTTAATAATTAAACCCAAACTCATCTTGTAGATATGGTTAGTAATTAGAATAGTCGTTATATATCTTCATTTTTTTTTTGTTAGTCTCAAAGCCCATCTTGTTTCATGCCATTCTCCCTTCACTTTATAGTTTAATATTGTAACAAAATAGAAAAATGTAAGTAAAAATGCAAGTAAAAAAATGAATTGAAATAAAGAGCGATTTCATAAATAATTACAAGAATCCTGGAATTATTTGAACATACTATTCTTGCAATGAGTTTTCAACAATCTAGGTAGCTCTAAGTTTTTAAATTTATACAAAACATATTTCTTATAGTGAGCTTTGATAAAATTCAAAATAAAATGCAATATTAGAATAAACACTTATACGCAGTATTCTTTTAACATAAGTGACAATATTTTTTTTCTTGTTTTAATAGTTTGTTAAGTATAATTAAAATTACTTGTACAAATATTTTCATGCCTCTGACAATTCTTCGAACTGTAATCTGTGAAACTGAAAATTTCAAATTTAGTTTTCAACATTTGCTTTACTGGTTTAAAAAAAAAGTTAATTTTCTATTGGTTAAATTATATACATGAGTCTGTTTATTGTCCATTTGACCATGCTTCTCAATAAACAATGGACAAGCCTCCTAATAAACAATAGTTTATTTGTTTTGTTCATTAGGTTTAACAACACTGCCTAGTAATGCATAGATTTTGTTCCACAAAAATGATTTGCTTTAATAGTTTAGATTAAACAGAATAAAGGTATAGGTAAATTAAAGTGATACGATACTACTTTATAATATTTTATTTTAATTTGTACTTATATTTAAGTTTAAAAGATACTTGAATTATGAAAAATGTAATTGATATAACATGTCTCAAGCTTGATGTCAAACATATGATCCTCAGAAAAATACAAGAATAGACGAGCAGAAATAAGAATATCAAGATTGTATTAATGAATTTCATTTACAAAATATGAAGATATGAAGAATTTTAGTAGTCTGGTTAGATAGTGTATGGTTAATTCAAGATGAAGATAGCAAAAAGCTAACAAAGTCATGTACTTCATTATATAAGTAAAACTTAAAATATTATTAAAAAATTTATTAGATTTTTTAAGCAAAGTAAGTTAAAATTTGTTTTATATTTTACTGCAAATGATTTTTGTTTAATAATATATTTTATTTATTTATAAATTTAAAGATCTCATTAAAGTATACAGACTAACTCAAAACACTTCAAATGAGCATCAATTAGTTTTTAATTTTGAAAAAGATAATAATAGAAATGTACAAATTGCAACAGATATAATATATTGCTAGCTTGGTGTCAAAGAGAAAACAACTCAAGGATGGATGAGTGGAAATAAAGTCAATAATTATATTAAAGAATTTTAATTTAATGCTACAAGCTACGAATGGATTCTTTTTAATAAATTAAATAATATTCAGAAAAATTGATGATAGATTGTTAGCAACCTGGTTAGATAGAACCAACATATTAAAGATAAAAATGGTTCTTATATACAGTCATGTATATCATCATATAAAGTAAAGCTTAAAATATTAGATAGTTTACAAAATTTAAATATTTTAAAATAAGTAAGATTATTTCATTAAATATTAGTTATTTGATTAATAATATCATATATCTAATTTCTAATATATTTATTATATTAAAGAATTTCAATTTAATGCTACAAGCTATGAATAGATTCCTTTTAATAAATTAAATAATATTCAGAAAAATTAGTAATAGATTGTTAGCAACCTGGTTAGATGGAACTGACATATTGAAGATAAAGATGGTTCTTATATATAGTTACGTATATCATCATATAAAGTAAAGCTTAAAATATTGAATAGTTCACAAAATTTAAATATTTTAAAATAAGTAAGATTATTTTATTAAATATTGGTTATTTGATTAATAATGTCATATATCTAATTTTTAATATATTTATTATATAAGTTTAAGAATTATTTGCAATTAGAAGTGAAGTGTTTTTGGATTAACTCAAAATGTTATAATTAATGAATATATGTTAGTATTTAATAAATTTAGTCCCCCCAAAAAAAAGAAGTGGAATAGAAAATATACAAATTGCAACTGATATAGCACATCAGAGAGTTGCACTGCCCCAGTATCGCCATCAAAATTTTCACCCCTCACGTGATGATCGACCAATAATAATTTACCTCAGTATTGCT